TTTCCGCCTTCTTGCATTCAATTTAATTTAACATTTTAGCATTTATATGTTTATTATAGTACGGCGAGCGACGTCGACGTCACTGTCGCTGCTGTTCATTGTGCATAAGAGGTTTTATGCTTGAAATGCGCATACGCTGCGTATACGTAATGTGCATTTTGTAGCAATACCTGGGGCATTTCATAAGGGTAACTGTTGGGGCAGAGTAACAGTTGGCCAGGTGCACGGAGGAATGGGGGAAGGGCCACTGAATGCCAGTTAAAAAACTACCACCACTATAAATTTGTGCACACTTACAACTCGACGCTCGTTCGACAACAACAACAACAACAATAACAACAACAACGGCAACAAGAACAACTGCAACTTAAATCTTAAGTAGCTCAACTTGTTTATTTATCGAAGCAGAAGTTAATGTATTACCGCGGCGGGCGGAGAGAGATCTGCAGGCACGAGCCAACGAGCATAAAAAGTGGAATGAAAAAATTTAAAAAAAAACATACATAAATAAATAAAAATAAAAACGCATCGTCATACAATTGTTATAGTCAAGTTATTCTTGCTGTGCTCTTAAATTGCTCAACGTGCAGCGTAAAGCAAATATTTATTCAAATAAAAATGTTTTTTACTCTCGTTAGTTTAAATAATTGTGCAATTTTTCCAGTGAAACATATACCAAAATAACTGAGCTCAAAATGTATAAAAAAATATATATAAATAAATTTAAAATAACTTAACTTTAATATGAAACTTTAACAATTCAACAAATATAAACCCAAAATTAAATTTTAAAAATATTGATCAGAAAAAAAACTAATTTAATTTGTTTTTAAGTAATTTTATAAATATTACAACAGACTTTTAATATGAATTCTTTGTAGATTATTTATATATTTTTTTAAAATATTTAAAATTGGAAATATGTTTTAATTTTTTTTTTTATTTTGTAATTTATTAAATTATGTACATATTTATATATTTTGCAAAATATTTTATCGAAAGCACAGTTATACTGAATCATTTATATTCCAAATATTTCTGACGGATTTATTTGTAAATTATTACTTCATAATCAAATACACAAAAAAGTAGTAAAATATTTTACAATAGGCAAAAACTATTTTGCATAATAATCCATTGTGATTTTTGTGAAAAAAAAAATATATATATATTTATATATACATATGTGTATGTACATATATATTTGGCTTGGGGTCTACTGGAGCGGCACGAAACTTGATTCTTTAGAGTGCATTGAAGTGTTAAAATATGTATATGAAATTGATTGGCTGATTAAACCCACACACACACACACACACACATAGACACGCAGAGTACGCTCTTGTGGATATATCTATATATAATTTCCATTTAAAATCTACATACACATATAAACTTTTTGTTGACTTTAGGGGCTTTTGTTATTTCGAGCATGTGAGCGTGTATTGTCCTTGGTGTTTTCGTGTTGATTTGCTGCGGAAATGACGCAAATAACGCAGCAAATTTAAGCCAGTCACACACACAATTTACACACTCGCCTGAATCTACACCTTTTTCTGGGTTATTTATGACAACAACAACAATCAAGGCAGGCAACTAGGCAGCCAGGCAGCCAGCTGTTAACCGGCAACAGGATGTTTTATATTATGCCTGCAAAATAAGGCAGCGAGCGAGAGAGAGAGTGAGTGAACGAGTGTGTGTGTGTGTGAGAGAGAGAGAGACATCCGCACACAATAAAGGGATTTGCTGTTTTAATATTTTGCATACATTTATGTATTTTCCTTTGTTTTCTTCTCTCTCTCTCTCTCTTTTTTTTTATTATTATTCCACCTCATTTTATGTCACTTTGCAGAATGAAAAATTTAATTGTGGTGCTCATTAATGGCTCTGTCGTCCCCGAAAAACCGAGCGGAAATATGTGATTTCCGGCAATAAATATCACTGTGACACATACATACATATATACATATGCGTCTATATATCGATAAATGAGGGCGCAACGCACTACACTTGGAAAACATTTTCTCTTGCGCCCGCGATTTATGAGTTTAAATACATAAATTTATAACTTGATTATCGCATTTGCATTTGATATGGGCGTTTGTTTTTTGGTTTCTTTTCGCTCTTTTTTTATGGACTTTTTCTTGGCCCCTTCGCAAAGCAAACAATCATTTAAGCATAAAACCATAAATCTATGCGCCAATAAGAGGGATTTCAACCAAGTAATACAAAATACAAGAGCAAAAAAAATGGAAGAAGGTATAAAATAAGAAAGAAAAGACAGGACATGAGCCAGCAGAATTTGCAAAAGGGACAGTCGCCAGCTTGAGTGGAAATTTTTATAAGAAAAAAAAGAGGAAAAAAAAAACTTATCAGACCACCAAAATGCTCTACGAAAAGAAACTTAAATATATTTCACCAAGTTGCTTTCACAATGATTTAAGGTCTTGAAGATATAAATTTGATTTGGATTTTCATACTATTCATAAATGATAATAAATCAAAAGACTGCGGATGCGCAGCTACCCTTTTGAAGAGAGGCAAGTATGTGGTATGCCAAGCCAAGCCCAAAATCAATATCAAAAGAGACCCAAACCGAAATCGCAGCCGAAGCCAATCAGAGGCAAAACAATAAACAAGCATGACAATAAATATAAATAAATAAATAAATAAGCGTACGTCAGGCAAATGCAAAGATTGAGCTGGTCACAGGATATAGCCACGGCAAACGACTCAAGCCGTATAGCCAATAATATTCCGCCTCCCGGAGATTCAGCCGTAGCATTTGCTTTGCGTGAAAGGATAATGACGCGTCTCGAATCGTGCAATGCAGCAACAGTCGGCACTATTGAGATGAAAGGATGCCAGATGGGGAGGGAGTTAAGGAATTGATTGAACGGCGCATTAAATATAAACCACAAATACAAACGCACACACACTGACATTCAATATGTATGCGCGTGTGTGTGAGGTACACAAACTGCGCGCCTTGTCATGCCTCATACAGCAGGGAGTTCGTTATATTGCTGCTGCTGCTTTTGCTACCGACTTCAATTTAACAGCTGCTTAAATCCGTCATTTCAAATCATTCGCTGATCACATTGGAGTGGAACAATATCTGACAGTGGCTTAGACTACTTTACGAAAGCTTACGAATAATTATGGCATATATATATTATAAAAAGACTTTAATTACTATAGAGTCATTCAATTGTCAGAGCTGAACTGAATATTAAACAAGAATACTTTTATATATGCATATATCATAGTTTTCATTCTAAGCTGTTAAGCTATTTAAGAGTAAGTGGATCTATGTTAGCTTCCAGCTTCCATTAACTGCAACTGCTTCGTTGCAAAATCGCCATCTATTATGCTATTAACAGCACAGAATGCTGTAAAGCGACTATATAGAGCAGCCATAATTATGTTAATAGCATAGCTCCCACTATAGTTTCCTTACAGCATTATGCGCTGTTAATAGCAGGGCTCGCACTTTAACTTCCTTACAGTTATGCTAATAGGCAGTTACTCTACAGCATTATGCGCTGTTATTAGCATAACAGACTTGTGCATTGTTTGGTTTACTCAAATATAATTTGTATAAATAATATGGCAAAGCAAAACAAATTTTTTCAATTCCCAAAATCCACAGAATATTCTTTTGCATTAAAACCTTCGTGGATAGAAGGATTGTAAAAATATTTCATTCATTTAAATACCTTAGTGGAATTTTAATCGAGTAAAATTAAATAAGTAGAATAATGTACTGAGCTGAAAAAAAGCTCACGGTATTTACGTTCTATTTATTTTTTTTTTTTTAGCCGATGGCTGCGGCTCCAGTTGTAAAACAAATGTACCAACTCTTTGCCAGTTTTATTTGTATTTTTTTGTTCATGGCGCGAAACGCTTTCAATGTAGCTTCACTTCAATTTAATGGCTACTTAAATCCATCATTTCAAATTATTA